AGAGTTCCTATGTCTAGAACATTCTTCCTCCTGTATGCTTTCATCCCTCACTTCAATCTCTTTGGTTGCTCTTCTGTTAGAACACTCTTCCTCCTGTATGCTTTCATCGCTCACCTCCTTCAAGTCTTTGTTCGGTTCTTACCATCTTTGTAAGGGGTCATGATCACCATCTAAGTTCATATTTCACCATCTCTCCTCCTCAGTATCCCTTTTCTCCTACTGTTATCATACCACACTACACTGACATCACAACAGCATACCATGAAACATTTGTTTGTTTTGTTTTGTTTAAAGACAAGGGATCTCACTGTAGTCTAGGCTGATCTTAAACTTACTGTTCTCCTGGCATCAGCCCCCTGAGTGTTAGGAGTACAGGCGTAAAGCACTGTGCACCTGCTCATACGTGTGCTTGTGCTGTTTCTCCTCAGTATGTAATCTCTGGCAATAACATTTTGCTCATCGATTTTCTTGAGCACCTAATGCTGGACTTTGCACATGGTAAACATTAGTAATTCAGAATGAGATATGGCCCTGTCTCAGCTTTGTGTTCCCCCATTTACACACCTTTCTTTCACAGAAGCGTCCTTTTTCTTTTCTTTCCCTCTCGTCCCTTTCTTTCTTCCCTCCCATCTGTCTGCCTTTCTTTTTCTTTTTTGAGACAGCATCTCTTGAGGCTGTCCTGGAACTTACCCTCCCAGGCTTGCCTTGAACTTGTGATGCAGTTCGCCTTTGTGGTTCTGCTTCCTTGCGTTGGCTCTGGGTTCAGACTCCTTTTCTTCCTGTCCTCTGTAGGTTGTGGCTGATTTCTGAGGGTTATGCAGCAGGCCCTGGAGATATCTCCCCAGATTGGTCTCCTGAGCGTTGTCCGATGCCAGAGCCATCTGAGTCAGTCAGTCCTACCCCTGGCCAGACCTCAATGTCAACGCCCCGCACACTTCGCAAAATGGGCCGTGTCCCTGCTGCCACTCCTGAGGAGCCTTGGGGCCAAGAGGGGCCAGCACTGTTGCTGCTGTCACGCTTCTCCCAGGCTTCTGACCCGAGTGGAGCTCTAGTGACTGGCCCAGCACTGTGCGGTCTGTTGGCCTACGTGACGGGTGCACCAGGACCACCAAGCCCACGTGCACTGCGCATCTTGGCCCGTCTCACCTGTAACCCTGCCTGCCTTGAGGCCTTTGTGCGCAGCTATGGCGCAGCGCTGCTGCGTGCCTGGCTCATACTCGGTGTCTCACCAGATGACTGGCCTGTGGCACGTGCCCGGCCTGCACACCGAAGCCAGCACCGAGAGCTGGGTATGTTTCCCCTATCCCTGCCCACATGAAAGGCCCATTTCCTCCCGCACCTTTTGTGGATCTAGAGCCTCTACTTGCTACTCAGTTGCCCTCTTGATCTCTCCTGCTTACTGTCCAGGCTGCTCAGTCCCCAGGTGTTGGGGGCTTGGGGCCCTGGAAGGCAGGGAGCTTTCCCTTCTATTCCATAGCCCTGGGACACAGAGAGTTCTTCTCTGTCCTCTACCCAAACTTGGGGCCCAGATAACCTGGTACCAGGTTTGGCTCCCAGCACCTAAAATCTGACCCTTCTTCATTTCTTTACCCATTCTATTCTTGGTTCTGTACTGTCCTGGGCACACTCACTCACAGACCGAGGCGCCATGTCCTCCTGTAGACTTTCCATCATAGGCTACCCTGTCTTCTGTGCCTGGCTGTAGGCTGTGTCAGTCTTTAAGGGCCCAGATCTACACCCAGACCATCCACTTTCTGTTCTCACCTTTGATTTTTGGTTCCTCCTACCTAGTCCTGTTCTTGAGCAGTGCTCATCGGACTCCTATACTGATTTCTTGCCCTGAGATTTTACTCTCCCCCTTTCACGGACTCGTGCCCATAACACTGCAGACTTTGACACTGACTTCAGCCTGAACCGTTGTCCTGACCCTGCAGGTGAGATGCTGCTGCAGAACCTGACTGTTCAGGCTGAGTCCCCCTTTGGGGTAGGTGCCCTGACCCACCTGCTGCTCTCCGGGAGTCCTGAGGACCGAGTCGCCTGTGCACTGACCCTACCCTTCATCTGCCGGTGAGGAGGAAATGGGTGTCCTGCGGGGATTGTGAGCAAGATTGCAACTCTCCAGTCGGGCCTTTAGCCCCCAGCTGAAAAACCCTCTTTTCCCCACAGGAAGCCCATTCTGTGGCGCCGCTTACTTCTGGATCAGGGTGGCCTCCGCCTCCTCCTCACGGCACTAACCCAGCCAGCTCCACACCCACTCTTCCTCTTCTTTGCGGCAGACTCCCTTTCCTGCCTCCAAGGCCTGGTGTCCCCCACTGTGAGCCCAGTCCTTTTCCCGGCCATGCCCTTGGAGCTAGACTCGCCCTCCCCGTGCCTCTATGCACCTCTGCTGGCTCCAGCCCCTGTCCCAGCTCCGGACCTGCACTTCATTCTGGATTCAGGCCTACAGCTCCCTGCTCAGCGAGCTGCTTCAGCTACTGCCTCCCCTTTCTTCCGGGCCCTGCTATCCGGCAGCTTTGCTGAAGCGCAGATGGATTTGGTGCCACTTCGAGGCCTGTCTCCCAGTGCTGCGTGGCCTGTCCTACACCATTTGCATGGCTGCCGGGGCTGTGGGGCTGCTCTGGGACCCATACCCCCACCTGGCCAGCCCCTGCTGGGCTCCAAGGCTGAGGAGGCACTGGAAGCTGCTGGCCGATTTTTGCTACCTGCTCTGGAGGAGGAGCTAGAAGAGGCTGTTGGCCACATCCACTTGGGTCCCCGGGGTGGCCCTGAGTCGGTGGGTGAGGTGTTCCGCCTAGGGCGGCCCCGGCTGGCTGCCCACTGTGCACGATGGACGCTGGAGCCAGGGCAGTGCCCAAGAAAGCGGGCCCTGGCCCTTATGGGGCTTGTGGAAGCAGTAGGTGAGGAGGCAGGGCCCCTCACTGAGGCTTTGCTGGCTGTGATAATGGGGATTGAGTCCTAGTGCAGATGCCCTAGGCTAGATGCCCTAGGCTAACCTATTAGCGTCCCTGGGAGAGGACCCTGGGATGAGTCGGTTGTAAAGGAGGCTTCTCTCAGCATGGCATGAAAGGAGACTGCAGACGGAGCTATCCTCAGGGACTGAAGAGAAAATGGAACTGGATCCCAGGACAAAGATCTGAAGATCCATGACTAAAAGGCCAACACCAGAGCCTGTGCAAGGAGCCCAAGAGGGCAGCCCAGGCTGCAGGGTCTGGTCTGACCCAGACCTGTGGTGTTGAAAATAAAAGTCAGATTTGCACAATGCTGTTGTGTAGTGATTCTGCCTGCTTTCCTCCGGGGTATTCATTCCACCCATTCATCTTGACGTGTGCCATCCCTGGGCCTAGGAGTTACTGCAGACCTGGGTGTGGTGGGGTCCCTGGGGTGAGGGAGGGCCCTGGGAGGCCTGCTCTCTATTTGAGTCCTCCTTGCTCAGACACAGCCACTCATCCAAATACAGAACTTGGCCAGGGCTGAGAGGTTTTAGCTGAGGACAAGGATGACAGCATGTCATAACACTTCTGCCTTCTGACCGTCCTTTACCTGTCAGTCTCTGTCCCTATGTTTTGAACCAATTTCTAAAAGGCATTTATGTGTATGTGCCATAGAGGACAACATGAGGAAGTCAGTTCTCTGCTTCCATCATATGGGTCCCAGGGACCAAATTCAGGTCCTCTGGCTTAGAAGAAAGTACCTTTACCTGCTGAGCCATCTTACTGGCTCAGCTTTTAACTATCAGCTGCTTAAGGGGAGACCTACTTGGGTTTCTGGGGCCGATTCTTACTCGCATTCAGGTGGAAGAAGGTCGCTCAGAGCCTGCACTAAGCCTGCCAGGGTCTGGGCATTTTGGAACGGTAAGTTAAGGTGCTCTTGGTGACCTTGAGTCTCTGGGTGTTCAAATCTCTGGTTTAGGCTGTGCCTTAGGATGTGGTGGTGCATGCCTTTAACCCCAGGTGACAGAAGCAAGTGGATCTCTTGGTAGTTACAGGCCAGCCAGGGTTCCATAGTGAGATCCTATCTTAAAACAAAACAAAAATGCACTTACGGCTGATACCTTTCTGACTGATTTAAGCTGCCATGGAGGACTATGTTGGGCTTCAGTATTTTTACCAAACTTCCCAGGTTCTGACTTGTTCCTAGGCTGAGGAACAAGTCCATCTCTATTCTGTTGCTTAGAGCTGACCCCCAGGATGGCTGTAAGACAGCAGCCATCTGTCCATACCCACATCCAGGTCTTTCCAACTTGATTTCTTAGGAAGCCAGTCCAGGCACAGCTTCTTGTCACTCTGTGGCTGGCATCTGTTGCTTTCTTCTCTTTAACCGGTGCCTTGGGAAAGGGCTGTTTTGGAGCAGGCTCTGGGCACCTCCGTGTTAGGAAAGGGTTTTGTTTTACAAGTGTTTGTCATTCTGGGAGTTTACATGGGGCTTGGGTCTGGGTTTTGCTTTCCTTGTTCTATGTATCTATTTCCAGGTATGTCTTTCAGGGAAAGCCTTGCCCTAGAGTCTGGATTGCTGTTCTCTGTGTGAGACATTTCTTAGTGTGTATGCCTCTTGCCCTTCCATCTCTGTTTGGCTGGCTGTCAGAACTTGAGTCGGATAGATCCCTAGGAACATTACCCCTGTCCAACAAAACTCTGCAAAGGACGAGTCTCTTTAAAATGTCCGGGTGGGAGTGCGGCCCTGCGAGGACTGAGGTGCTGGCTTTGGAAGGTACGGCCTTGGGGCCCTCAGTTTAGGAGACTCCTTAAGGCAGGAGTTATGGAAGAACCACTTCTGACTTGGCTGCAGCTGCGGCTGAGGCAAAGGCTGGGGTGTGGCCTCCTCCGAGCAGAGCCAGAAGGCTGGGTTGGGTGGGCCCTGGTGCTGTCTTTCTTCGTGTCCCCGTGCTCCCCCTTCATCGCTCCCCCCCCCGACTGTATCCCAGCGGGTCCCGGCTTCCATACATGGTCACGGCCCTGCTTCTAACTCCCTGACGTACCCCCCCGCCCCCGCCCCCACCGGACACGGCCCCCGCCCTGCTCGCCCCAAGCTGTCCGCCAGCGCAACGCCATGGAGGATCTGGGTGAGTGGGGACCGGATCCCCCTAGCCTCTCACCCCTGCCTGCGTCTATCCTCTTCCCCACTCACACTCCCATAGCTCCCCATCCCAGTTTTCTCCCTCCATTTTCTGGCCTCAGCCTGCTTGTGCCTCCCTCCCAAATCCACGTACCCTTTCCTGCCTCTCCCTTCCTGCCTTGCTTGCGATGTCGCTCCCTCCGTTCTTCCCTGGCTCTGTTCCCTCAATCCTGCTTGTGCAATGGACTAAGCGTTAAGGCACCCACGGGGGCCTGGAATGAGAGGCTCTGGGAAGGAAGGGGTTAAAGGATCCTCGGGTCCTCGGACTGGGAAAATAGACTGGAGAGGGGAGCGTGACCTCAATTTTCGGAGATGAAAGGGGACCACAGTAGGATTTCAAAAAGAGAAGAGTTAAGTGCCCCTAAGTATAGCAGGGGTCAAGTAAGTCCTCAGGGCAAGAAAGAGAAAAACAGACAAAGCGTGCCAAGGCGATAGAAGTTTAAGGCTTCTACCGAAGATGCCCAGAAAAGAGTAAAGGGAGGGGGCTCGGAGGTTCAAAGCGCCCCGAGGCTGGGCTAGAAAGCTCTGCTCTCCGTGGCCGAATTTCTGGACTCAGCAGCAGAGGGCGCTCCTCAATAATAGTACACGGGTAAGAAGTACTCCAAAAAAGCCGCCCCCTGCCAGTGCTGCGTACCCCTAAGGAGGACAGGGTGGGCCAGGCTGGCCAGGCTGTTTAAACACGGGGAAGTGGTGAGTGTGGCTCGGAGAACAGCTAATCAGGAAGTGGGGTGTCAAACACAGCCAGCTGAACAATTTGGGTACAGTTAAGAGCCAGTCTGCGTCGGGAAAGATGGAGAGGATGAGTCAAGTGACTGGCGTGTCCTTGGCTCCCAGAAGTCAAGGGAGAGGTCTACCCCCTGCTACTCCCATCCCACTTTTTTGCCTTGGGCTAGCCCTCTTACTGTGTTTCTTGGCCGCTCGCTGCCTTTAACACCGGCTTTCTACTTTTTAAATACTGCCACTTAAACCCTAACTCTAACCTCCTAAGACCTTGGACACCCTCCCCCCAAAACCTCTCACCCTGAGGGCCTCTCACCACAGATGCCCTGCTCTCTGACCTGGAGACCACCACCTCACACATGTCACGGTTAGGGGCTCCCAAAGAGCGCCCACCAGAGCCGCTCACACCTCCCCCACCCTATGGCCACCAGCCACAGGTGAGATGAGATCTGGGGGTCTGGGGCAGCCACTGGGGCCTGAGTCGGTCTGGGCTTGGGGAAATTAGAGTCTGAGGGAGGCAAGAAAACAAGACTGTCCTTCCGCATACACCTCTACTCTCTGTAGACGGGGTCTGGAGAATCTTCAGGAGCCTCTGGGGACAAGGACCATCTATACAGGTGAGGGGCCTGGGAATTGGGGCATGGAGATAGGGAAGCCAGTTGAAGTTCAGGTGAGGGGACTCGGTTTACGTGAGGGACCCTAAACCCAGGTTCCCTCCTGTCCCTTAGCACAGTATGCAAGCCTCGGTCCCCAAAGCCTGTGGCCCCTGCGGCTCCTCCATTCTCCTCATCCAGTGGTGTCTTGGGCAGCGGGCTCTGTGAGCTAGACCGTTTGCTGCAGGAACTTAATGCCACCCAGTTCAACATTACAGGTATGAGGGGTTCTGAGCCAGCCTTTGTTGGGTTGGGGACAGGGCAAAGAAGGGCAGCGTAAGGGACACAGACCTCTCTGAGGGGCAGTTAAAGGACATGGATCCTTGACTGAGAGGATGGACTGAGGACGGCTCCTTGCCAGTGTTATTCTCTCATCTCTCCAGATGAAATCATGTCTCAGTTCCCATCTAGTAAGATGGCCGAAGGGGAAGAGAAGGAGGACCAGTCTGAAGACAAGAGCACACCCACTGTGTGAGTTTGTCATGGTTGGCAGGGCTGGGAAGGAGGCGATGGGCCTGGATGTCTGGGGTACCAGAGGGGGTGTTGTGCTGCCAGGCTCTGAGGCTATAACTGTATTCTCTACAGCCCTCCCAGCACATTCCCTGTCCCCTCAAAGCCTTCAGCCACCTCAGCCACTCAGGAGCTGGATAGACTGATGGCATCACTCTCTGACTTTCGAGTCCAGAACCATGTGAGTCGGAAGGATTTTGGCTGGGGTCACTTTGTGGCTCACCAATCCAGTTTTGACGCATCTAACATGTGGCTTTTTGTGGACTCAACTTCCTTGTCCTCTTCCCCTGCAGCTTCCAGGCTCGGGGCCTTCTCAGCCTCCGGCAGTGAGCTCCACCCGTGAGGGATGCTCATCTCCACCAGGACAGACGAGCAAGGGCAGCCTAGACACGATGCTGGGCCTGCTGCAGTCCGACCTGAGCCGCCGTGGTGTGCCCACTCAGGCCAAGGGCCTCTGTGGCTCCTGCAACAAGCCTATTGCTGGGCAAGTAAGTGCAGCCCCCAGAGAGGAGGTGTGTATTCACATACCTGCCTTTGAGAGCCAGGCTTGTGTTTCCCCCTTTAAAACTGTGTTTGTTTTTATTCTTTGAGAATTTAATACATGTATACAGTTTACTTTGCTTCTATCTAACCCCTCCTTCTAGTCCTTCCATTGCTCCCATATTTCTCCCAACTTCATACCATCTTTTATTTGTTTATTTTATTATTTTTTAATGGTTATTCAGCTTCTGTTAGCCATGACCAATTTTACTTCTTGAAGGCTATAGTCTGTCTCCCAAACTACAGCCCAACAGCAAAGACCTTTTATTTATTTACTTATTTATTTATTTAAAATGTGCATTGGTGTTTTGCCTGCTTGTATGTCTGTGTGAGAGGGTCAGATCTTGGAGTTATAGACGGTTCTGAGCTGCCATGTGGGTGCTGGGAGTTGAACCTGGGCCCTAGTGCTCTTAACCGCTGAGCAGTCTCTCCTGCCCCGAGAATTTTCATTTTAAATGGTTTATTTCTTTTATTGTATGTGAATTGGTGTTTTGCTGGCATGTATCTGTATGGATGGTGTTGGATCTCCCAGAACTGGAGTTACAGACAAGGGTGAGCTGCCATGTGGTTGTTGGGAATTGAACTCAGGTCCTCTGGAAGAGTCACCAGTGTTCTTAACTACTGAGATATCTCTCTCTCATCCCTTTAAATCCTACCAAGTACAGTTCGTGCTTCTGGTGGGTTCATGAGTGTGGGGCCATCCTTTGGAGCATTGCTCCTTTCAGGCGCCATGCCCCTGAAGAAAACAGAAGCGCCCTCACCCAGTAGCCAACAACTGCTAATTGCTCCTCTGATAGGGGTGGGGATGAGGGAACCCCTCCCTCATCCCTGATGGGGTTTGAACTGGCTTGATACTGTGTAAGTCTTGTGAAAGGTCCACGGCTGCCCTGGTTCATGGGTGTGATCACCCTGCCATGCAGAGAAGGCACTGGTTTGTAGAGTCCTCCCCAGCGTCTGGCTTTTACAAGCTTCCCACCCTCTTCTGACATCACAGATCACTGAGCCTGATGAGGAGACTGTGAGACAGATCTTCCATTTAGACCTGTGTGCTAGTCCCTTTCAACAAGTACTAGTGAGGTGGAAATCATTTTTTCTTGTAATGTTGAGACCTTTGCATATGCTAGGTAGACCCTCAGTCACTAAGCTACATGCTAACTCTCGAATCTTTTTTTTTTTTAACAGTGATTCGTGTATCCCATGCTGTCCTCAAATTCAATAGATAGTCAATGATAGAGTCCAATTACTGATCCTCTACTTTCTTCCCTGAGTCCTGGGATTATAGGCATGCACTCCTCCTTCACAGTTTATTTGTAATTCTTGGGAATGGAATTCAAGAATTTGTGTGTGCTAGGCAATCACTCTACTACCTAAGGCACAGCTCTAGCCCAGTCCTTGGAATTTTGAGTCAAAGTCTTACTATGTAGCACACCTAAAACCCATGATCATCTTGCTTTTCTCTCCCAAATTCTAGGATTTTCAGCATGTGCCACTATGTCCACCTGAAGTAGACATACTGTTTATATTTTGTGTGTGTGTGTTTAATTACTTTATTTTTGAGGAATTGTCTCACTGTAGCCTAGGCTGACCAAGAACTTACTCTGTAGCCCAGACTGGCCTTGAACTGATGGTAATCCTCCTATCTCAGCCTTCTAAGTGCTGGAAATACAGGTGTAAGCCATCATGCCCATCTATATTTTATGTTATCTTTCTTTTCTCTTTTTTAATTTTATGTGCATTGATGTTTTGCCTGAGCTAACAGACAGCTGTGAGCTGCCATGTGGGTGCTGGGAATTGAACCCAGGGCCTCTGGGAGAACAGCCAGAGCTTTTAACTGCTAAGCCATCTCTCCAACCTTCTATTCTGTTTTCTTAATTTAAAAATCTGTGTATGTGCAAGGGACTAAACCCAGGGCCTTCACACATGCTAAATACACCTTTGCCATTGAACTAACCCTTAGAACTTTGTATACTTATGGATGAGAAAACTGAGACTCTTAGTGATAAGCCGTAGGGTGAGAATTCCAACCTGGTTAGGATTTGGTGTGGCCCTACTGTGTGCCGGCCACTGTGCTAGTTCCTCTTCATAGCCCTATTTCATTTAATCTTTCCAAAAGGCTCACTAGTTTTTTCCTAGTATCTCGCAGGCATCATAAAAACTGTCTTCCCTTTCAGAGTCTGGTCTGGGAGTCCTGGTTCTTAGGTCATGGACTGAACAGATATAGATATATTCATAATAGCCGAGCCTGGTTGGCTAAAAGCATCTCGATTGACTAATTACCTGACTCCCATAGCAGCGTTGCCAACCTCAGAAAGCAGGGTGGTATGACTTCTGTAAGGCTCCAGGTACCTCAGTCTCTAGAGGTTGCACCCTCTACTAAAACTTTTGTCTGCACTGGCATGAAGATGACTCTGTTTTCTGGCAGGGTGGTGTTGCCTTAATTCCAGCGCCCTGGAGGCTGAGAGGTAGAGAATTAAGCTACAGAGAGTTTGAAGCCAGCACAGCATAGAAAGACTATCTCAAAAAAAAAAAAAAAAAAAAATTAAACACACACACACACACACACACACACACAAAACAAATACCCTGCACAGGCTTTAACTAAAGCCTTCGAAGGAGTGTGGGCCCAAATACACTATGCTTTATGTGAATGTAAACCCTGGAGGAAAGTATCTCTAACTCAGTTTGTAGCACCTTGGACACGTGTGTGTGTGTGTGTGTGTGTGTGTGTGTGTGTGTGTGCGCGCGCGCGTGCGTGTGTGTTTCCATCCTGATCTGTCAGGGTCAGGTGCCCGGGATGTAACCTTAGCTCACCTAGCACCTGCCTGGGGAGGGCCGCTCTGACAGGAACTTCCCGTTCCACTTCGCAGGTGGTCACGGCTCTGGGTAGAGCCTGGCACCCCGAGCACTTCCTCTGCAGCGGCTGTTCCTCCACCCTGGGAGGCAGCAGTTTCTTCGAGAAGGACGGGGCTCCCTTTTGCCCCGAGTGCTACTTTGAGCGCTTCTCCCCACGATGCGGCTTCTGCAACCAACCCATCCGACACGTAAGCTCCGCGGAGCCCCGCCCACTCCCCTGTCTCGCTTAGTCCTGCCTTGCCCGCCTACCTCCACGCCCACCCCACCTCTTCCGTTTTCCCTCTTTAATCCCTACAAGGCTCAAATTCCTCGTTAGTCCCTTAGCCCTCCCCAGGCTCCCAGAGGGAGGCGGAGGGAAGAAGGGACCGAAGGCGACAGAAATGCCCTTTTTCGTTTTCTGCAGAAGATGGTAACAGCCTTGGGCACCCACTGGCACCCAGAACATTTCTGCTGCGTCAGCTGCGGGGAGCCCTTCGGAGAAGAGGGTGAGAGCTGATGGTTAAGAGCTGCAGGCCCACTGTCCTCCGGCCTTGAGTTTTCTTCTACTCTGTCTGGCCCTCCCCATCCACCCATGGGTTCCCACCTCTCCCGCCGTTTCCTGGTCTTTCCTTCGCCACCTCCCACACCCAAGGCGGCTCTCGGTCCGCCACATGCTCTGTCCCCGCCCCCAGGTTTCCACGAGCGGGAGGGCCGCCCCTACTGCCGCCGGGACTTCATGCAGCTGTTCGCCCCGCGCTGCCAGGGCTGCCAAGGCCCCATCTTGGATAACTACATCTCTGCACTCAGCGCGCTCTGGCACCCGGACTGCTTCGTCTGCAGGGTGCGTGGCGGTGTGGGGGAGCGGGCTAGGAGCCCAGGGTGGGGCGATTCGTTGATTAGTCTGGTTGGCTTGCTCGAAGTGCTGCCTCGCTCCTGCTGCGTGGCCACAGGAGTCAGGTTACCTGGTCAGACTTTTGGCTCATTTTGTCAATTCCTCCTTCTGACAGGAATGCCTCACACCCTTCTCTGGAGGCAGCTTTTTCGAGCACGAGGGTCGCCCGCTATGTGAAAACCATTTCCATGCCCAGCGAGGTTCGTTGTGTGGCACGTGTGGCCTCCCCGTGACTGGCCGCTGCGTGTCTGCTCTGGGCCGCCGCTTCCACCCGGATCACTTCACCTGCACCTTCTGCCTGCGCCCACTCACCAAAGGCTCCTTCCAGGAGCGTGCCAGCAAGCCTTACTGCCAGCCTTGCTTCCTGAAGCTCTTTGGCTGACCTCCTCTTGGGATCACAGATCTCCAAAACCAAGCCTAAAACAAACAAACAAACAAACAAACAAACAAACAAACATTCGTGAAAAAGACTGAGTCCTCCAGATCCCCAGCTGGAGCTACCCAGACACCCTTGCCCCTACCCCTACGCTCCCCACTGTGGCCCAGCCACTGGAGAGACCCACCCCTAAAGTATTCTCAGAAAGGGCCACGCACAACCACTAGCCTGGAATGTAGCTCTCACCCTGACCTGATCCTGGTTTTTGTTATCTGACCAGTCAGAGGCCAGGATGTTCCTATTCCTCCATGGCTCACTATTCTGTACACTTTTTCTACAAACATAAAAACAAGCTCCACACCTCACAGTGCCAGAGAACCTTGCTTTACTACCCAGAACCCTCGGGCAGGCTCATGCTCTGAAGGCTCTGGGCCATAACCTTGTGGGAGGAGCCAAAACTGCCCTCTCCTGCCTTGGGGATGGCAACAAAGGCAGGCATGGAGAGGCATTCCTGTCATCCCTTGGTGGAGGGCAGGGCAGACTGTCCTCAGCTGCAGAGCAAAAACTGAAGCCAGGTTGGGTTTATGAAACTATCTTAAACAAAACAAACAAACCCCAAACACCTGGAAACTAAACTCCAAAGCAGTGTCGACAGAATGAACGGGCACGGTAGTTCATGCTGTAATCCAGCGTGAGGGACACAAGTTCAACACCAGCTCAAAAGCCATCTGCTTGTACATAGTGAGTTCCGGGCCAGCCTGGCTCCTGGACTTTAAGATCTAGTGTTAAGAGGTGGGGGCGGGGTACCAGAAAACCCAGGTTCAATTTCTAGCACCCTCAAGTGTCTGTAGCACTAGTTCCAGGGAATCCAACACCCTCTACAGGCACCAGTACATACGTGGTACAGACATATGATGGCAAAACAGCCATGCACATAAAACACAAATTTTTTAAAAGGGTTGGAAAAATGCCTCAGTAGTTAAGAGTGCTGCACATTCTGAAGATGTGTGTTCAGTTCCCAGCACCCACCCAATGGCTCACAACCATTTGTAACTCCAGTTCCAAGGAGCTGAGGACACCACAACTTACCATTTATTTAAAAAGACTTTTTTTTTTAAAGATAAGATTTAATCACAGGGTCAAAAGAGAGGCTTTGGCAAAGAAAGGAAGCCATGCCTCAAAACCATAGGTGTGGGGTTCTCAAAAACAGGTATAAGTCAGGCATATATGTTTGAATGATGAGTATATATAGGCTTTTAACTGCTTATGAGTCTCTCAGGCAGCCTCTACTTAACCATCTCTCTTCTTTTTGGTGCTTACGATTATTGGGTGAATCATTTGGACAAAGTGGGAGGCTTCAGAACAGGAAAAACTCTTTATCACACATCTGATAGAGGGTCAATATCAAATATAAAAAGAACTAAACACAAAACAAAACCAAAAGCCTGGATGTTAAGAAAACAAGCAACCCAATTAAAACTGAGGTACAGAATTAAACAGAGTTTTCAAAAGATGAAACACGGTGGCGGAGAAACATTTAAAGAAATGCCCATTATCCTTAGTTAGGAGGAAAATGCAAATCCAAACTACTTTGAGCAGCACTTGGGAGGCAAACACAAGCAGGTCTCTTGTGTTTGAGACCAGCCTCATCTGTAGAGTGAGCTCCAGGACAGCCAGAGCTACACAGAAAACCTGCCTTGAAAAACAAAAACAAAAAGCCAACACTACTTTGAGATTTCATCTTACTTTGGTCAGACTGCAGGATCAATAAAACAAATGGCAGCTCATGCTGCTGAGGATGTAGAGTAAGAGAAACACTTAGCCATTGCTGATGGGAGTGCAAACTCCCACAGCCTCTATGGAAATCAGTGTGGAGGTTCTGGAATAGATCTACGCCACGATCCTGCTTCACCACTCTTGGGCATACCAAAAGACTCTACATCCTACTGCAGAGACACTTGCTCATCCATGCTCATTGCTGCTCTAGCCATAGTATCTACAAGTTGGAAGCAGCAAGATATTTGTTGATATTTTTTGGTAGATATTTGTTGATGGATGAATGGATAAAGAAAATGTGTTACATCTGCACAATGGAATATTATTCACCTGTTTAAAGAAAAAAAAACAGTCGTGAAATTTACAGGTAAATGGATGGAACTAGAAAAAAAGTCATCCTGAGTAAGGTAACTCGGCTCCAAAAAGACAAATATGGCATGCATTTTCTTATATGTGGATAGACATGCCATAATTCATATAATCACAGAGGTAGATATGGAGTAAGGGATTTGGTGGTGGTGGGGATCTCCCAAGGAAGGGTAAATAGAATATATAATTGTGAAGAGGCAGGAGAAGGATAAACAAAAACATTAAACGGGAAAGGGAGGCTAACAGGGTAAGAGAGGTGATGTAAGAAAGACAACTAACCCTAACGGGCCATTGGAGGAGCCATATGGAAACCTGCTACTGTAGATGCTCCCCAATGTAGATACACATATGAAAGGACTCTTAGTGGAGTCGCCAAACGGTCAGAGACACGACACTTCAGCTATGCATCTTACACTACCAGGTGAAACATCCAGTGCCAGGAATGGTTACATCTATTTGAGTCATTGGCCAAAGGTGACCCACAGAAACCCCCAAACATCTCAGGCTATTACCAGGGATGTTCATTGCTCTCCACAAACTGATGGTAAGACCCTACTGCTCAAGACGGCACATAATTTCATTCAACATGGAGAAGTCAAGCTGTGCCTCACGAGAGCCTTTACCCTTAGTAGTAACTGGTGCCCATAGTATTGGAAGGTACTCTGCATGCTACCGGAGAAGAAAGGTAAGCAACGGCCCAGCCACAAACCCTTCAGTGTATAATATGGTGACCTGCCTGCACCGTAGGCTGGTGCAATGGCGGCACAAGCATTGTGGGAGTAACCGGCCACTATCTGGCAGGATCTAAGGTCCACCTGTGAGACGGAACCCATGCCTTATGCTGCTCAGGTGGTCAAGAACCCGAGACTACATAGGCTGTAGGCCTAGGGGAAAACCAAATGTTCTGCCAAAGCAGTGGCTCTCAACCGTCCTAATGCCGTGAATGACCCACAAACTGAGGAATTGCTAAGGAATGTAGCCGTTCTCCTGTACCCACAGATCAGTGTCTCACTCAGCTATCACCAGAGAAACTTTTTCCTGCGGTACATAGAAACCTGAACAGTGTGTAGAGAGTGAGAGACCTTGAAACACTCAGTCCCTAAGGTCATATCTTCGTGAAACCCCTCCTGTCAGGGCTCAGCAAACTAAGTAGAAGAGAAAGCAAAAAGATTGCATGAGACAGAGGGGACGAAAGACACAGGAAACAGCGTCTCCAGCCACAACGGGACTAATGAGCATGCGCACCCACAGAGCCTGGCAGCGTGCGCGGTGCCTCCACAGGCCCTAGCCAGATGGGGTCCCAGTGCCGAGAGGGGCTATCCCTCACCAAGAGGCTATCTGCAAGTGATAACCGCTCACAATGGAAAAATTCACTTTCTCCAGTGGAAACTCACTGGGTATATAACCCGTACTTAAGGGCCAGTCCCATGCATGTCCAGCAGTAGATGGATGGACACCATAAAATGAACTCGATGGTGTTAGGTTTTAAGCCCAGAACAAACAGCTGAGGTGCCTAGTTAACCTATCAAAGCAGACCTGGCCTCCTGCTTCTCCCAGCATCCCTCATCCCCTAGGTGTCGCAGGGTCCGCCTACTGGCATACTGCCCTCTACTTCTCCAGCCCGGGGACTGGACTGGGCTGCCCTTCCCTGTATAATCAAATCATATTCGTTGCCCCTATTCTCCTTTGGGCCTCCTGGCTACTGCATCCTGTTCCCCTCTCTCTCCTCCCCCACCCCCCCTCCTCACAGGGCTCAGTCTGGTCATGCCCACGCAGGACTCTCCCAGATGTCCCTGCCCCTGACTGTGCTCTCACATGGCTGTAACAAACGTTACAGCCACCACACCCAGGACCAGTCATGGCTTCCCCTTATTTCTTTTTCATTGAGATGATATGTTGGGAGATTTTTTTTTTTTTTAATTTTTACTGGTCTTTTGCTTGTATGTTACAATTTCCTATTTTGTGTTTTTATGGTTGTGTATGTGTGTCTCTGCATGTATATGTTTCTTATACTTTTTCTTTGTTTTGTTTTGTTCTGGTTTGTTTGTCTATTTTCTAAAGAGAGAAAGAAGGCATGGAGTTGGAAGGGTGTGGAGGTGGGAAGGATCTGAAAGTAGATGAGGGAGGAAAACTGATCAGAATATATTGCATGAAAAATTATTCTAAGTTATAAAAATTATTGGGTGGGCCTGGGGTGCCTTTTGGGTGCTGAGAATTGACTCTGGGTCTTCTGGAACAGAAGCCAGTGCTCTTAACTCTATCTTCAGACCTCTTGTTAGATTCTTGATTCTCAGATGGTTAGAGGCATTAACCAGTGTCTTGGGCGAGTGCCTCCTTTGACTTATGATCTATGTACTTGTCTGCATGCATGTCTCTCCCCACTGAGAGACAGGAATTGGGGACTCAATCACGCTGAGAGACAGGGCTGGTGAATAAATATCCCATTTCCTGGCCCATCAGTGGTCCATTCTGAGGTGCACAGTACAGCATCTCTGAGCACGGGGGGCTGGTCTCCAGCTTCTCATAGGTTCTACCTGTTAAACAGTGCATCACTTTCTGGCCTTTCTCCTTTGTCTTACCTCCTCCACTCCTTCACAGTCCTTCCCAAAATCACAGGTCCAAGGACACCTGGTTGGCCTTCTACATCTGTGGCATCTCACTCCCTCCTCTGAGGATTCTTCTCATATAAGAGACTCGGGAATCAGTGGAGACTCTGGGTGACTTGACTTTTTGTGGACTTTAAAGATGGTCCATGTGTATATGGGCAGGGCACTCAGCCTGCCTGCCTCAGATGATAGTGTAGATTCAACTAGCCTTTGAACAAAATCATTTGAGGGGAGAAAATTGCTTTTGTACTGGGGATATGCAGGCCTTTTCTGGTCACTTCTTAAACAGTGTGCTGTAACAACTATTTTCATAGCATGTACAACATTTTCGGTATTATAAGAATCTTGAGATAATTTATAATATTGAGGGATGATGTACGTGGGCCTGGAGCATCCTTAGATCATCTGTAATGAGTGCTGGAACTAAGACCTCACAGGCATTAAGGGATGCGTATAATTTAGTTATCTCATGCATTCTAGACTTAAGGTGGTGGTGACCTGTGTCATTCTATGCCGACAGTGGAACCAGGACAGAAACTCCAGCCGGGTTCCCACCAAAACATCTTTCTTCCATTCTCATGCCTTCAGAGACTGTATTTACTCTGCCTCCTGTC